TGTTTAATTGCTCTGGCTAGGACTTCCAGTACTATGTCGAATAGAAGTTATGAGAGTGGGCATCCTTGTCTTGTTCCTGATCTTAGAATAAACTTTTCAGTCTTTCACCATTGAGTGTATTAGTTGTGGGTTTTTGTATATGGCTTTTTTATGTTGAGGTACTTTCCTTCTATTCCTAGTTTGTTGAGAGTTTTTATCATGAAAAGGTATTAAATTTTGTCAACTTTTTTCTGTATCTATTGATATAATTATGTGAGTCTCATTCTTCATTCTGTTAATGTAGTATATTACATCTATTGATTTTGCATGTTGAACCATCCTTGCATGTCAAGGATTATTCTCACTTGGTCAGAGTGTAAGATCCTTTTAATGTGCTATTGGATTTGGTTTTCTAGTATTTTGTTGAGAACTTTTGCACCTGTGTTCATCAAGAATATTTGTTTGTAGTTTTCTTGTGGTGTCTTTGTTTTTGGTGTCAGCGAAATGTGGGCCTCATAAAATGAGTTTGGAAGTGTCCTCTTCTTCAGTTTTTGGAAGACTTTGAGAAGGATTGGCATTAATTCTTCTTAAGTGTTTGGCAGAATTCACTAGTGAAGCCATCTGGTCTTTGGCTTTTCTTTGTTAGGGGGTATGATTACTGATTTAATATCTGTTTTAGTCGCAGGTCTTTTCAGATGTTCTATTTCTTCATGATTTTGTCTTAGTAGTTTGTATGTTTCTAGGAATTTATTTCTTTTAGGTTAACCAATTTGTTGTTGTAAAATTTTTCTTTTTTTTTGGTCTTTTTTCGTGTCCGGCAATGGATCGCAACCCTCAGTGTCGCGCCTGTACTGGACCGGGACCGGCAACGGGATCGCAACCCTCGGTGTTGCGCCCGCACCTCGCTCAGCCAGTGAGAGGGAACCGGTCTGTATGTGGGATCCGAACCCTCGGCGGGAGCGCCGCTGCGCTCTCAAGCGGCGCACTGTAGCAGTGCGCCACCGGGCTGGCCCTGTTGTTGTAAAGTTTTTCATAGTAGTCTCTTATGATCCTTTCTGTTAGTGGCATCAGTTGTAATGTCATCTTTTTTTTTTTTTTTTTGAGACTTTTCTCTCTTTTTCATAGTCTTGCTAAGAGTTTGTCAATTTTCTTTATCTTTTTGAAAAAAAAAACAACTCTTTTGTTTATTTTTTTCCTATTTTTCTATGTTATTTATTTCTGCTCTAATGTTTATTATTTACTTTGTTTTGCTAGCTTTGGGCTTAGTTTGTTCTTTTTCTAGCTCCTTGAAATGTATAATTAGGTTGTTTATTTGAGCTCTTTCTTTTTTAATGTTGATGTTTTATCAAAATAAATTTCCCTTATACTACTACGTTTGCTGCATCCCTTAAGTTTTGGTATGCTGGGTTTTCATATTTGTTTGTCTTGAGGTATTTTCTAACTTCCTTTTTTATTTTTCTTTGACTCAGTGGTTGTTCAAGAGTGTGTCATTTAATTTCCACATTAAAATTTGTGAATTTTCCAGTTTCCTTCTGGTATTGATTCCTAGATTTATTCCATTGTGATCAGGAAAGATACTTGGTATGATTTCAGTCTTCTTAAATTTGTTAAGACTTGTTTTGTGACCCAGCTTGTGATCTGTCCTGGAGAAAGTTCTGTATGCTTGAGAAGATGGTATATTCTGCTCCTGTTGGGTGGAATGTTCTATATATGTCTGTTAGGTCCCTTTTGGTATATAGTGTTGTTCAAGACCTCTGTTTTCTTATTGATCTGATCTTCTGTCTGTATATTCCATCCATTATTGAAAGTGGACTGTTGAAGTCTTTTACTGTTTTTGTGTTGCTGCCTATTTCTCCCTTCAGTTGTCAATGTTTGCTTTATATATTTAGGTGCTCTAATGTTGGGTGCATATATGTTAATAATTGTTATATAACCTATTTATCATTATATAATGTCCTTCTTTGTTTCTTGTGACAGTTTTTTACTTAAAGTCTATTTTGTCTCTTACTATGTTTTTTATTTCAGTGAATGATTTCAGCATCCATCCAAGTGTTCAAGTCATATCTGGTTAGTCTTTATGTTCTGCCAGTGTTCATTTCTTATTATTTTTTAAACATGGTTCCTCCTCTAATGTTAATATTACCATTTTTAGAACCCTTACCATTTCTTATCTGGGTTATTGGAATACTCTTAACTAGTCTTCCTGTTGTCATTCTCAAACCTAATTGATCTATACACCTTCTGCTTTCAGTCATCTTTCTAAATCCATCCCTCAAATTCCCTCACTATCTTCCCCGTTGCTTTAGTATGGCACAATCTCCATTAGTATGGTATGACAGACCCTCCATGATCTGCCCTCTGCATCTGTCCTATGAAGAGGACTTCAGCTTTATTTATAGCTTTCTCCCACCCCCGTACTTCATGACTGTTCCATACCAAGCATTCTAGCTTTTTTCATGTTTTTGCCCCCCTTTTTTTTGGTCTTTGCTTAAATGGCTATTCCACTATCAATGGAGGTAAGTACCTACTGTTTGAAATCCTTAGCTCAACCTCCATATATTAGTTCCCTAGGGCTGCTGTAGCAAATTACCACAAACTGCGTGGCTTATACAGGAATTTATTCTCTCATTGTGTGGAGGCTTGAAGTCTGAAACCAAGATGTAAGCAGGGTCATGCTCTTTTTGAAGCCTGCAGAGGAGGATTCCTCCTTGCTGCTTCTAGCTTCTGGTGGTTGCCAGCAGTCTTTATTATTCTTTGTTATAGTTGCATCACTCTAATTCTGCCTCTGTCTTCACATGGTTTTCTCCCCTGTATGTCTGTGTCCAAATTTCCAGTATGACATTGTCTTGACTTGATTACATCTGCAGAGACTCAAATAAGGTCATATTTACAGGAGAAAGGACTTCAACATATCTTTTTTGGGGGACACAATTCAATCCACAGCACTGTATGTGAAACCTTTTCTGATTCTACTTGTCCTCCCAAATAGAATTTACCACCCTATCTATCAATGTGTCCTCACTATATTCCCTGTGTGTACCTTACTAACACTTGTCATACTTAATTGCATATCTGAGCATGTATACATAAATATATGCGTATGTCTGTGTGTATACATATATATGCATGTGTCCATGTTTACACACACACAGAGTCATGCACTGCGTAACAGTGGTGTGGTCAATGTCGGACTGTATATATGACTGTGGTTAGAGCAAAGGCTATACTGTATAGCCTAGGCGTGTAGTAGGCTATACCATCTAGGTTTGTGTAAGTATACTATGATTTTGCACAAGGACAAAACCACCTAATGATTGATTTCTCAGAACATATCCCTGTCATTAGGTAATGCATGTCTGATGTCTGATGTCTGATATATGAGTGTGTGTGTGTGTGTATGTGTGTATGAATATACCCACACTACTGTTTTATTATGGTGCTCATCCTTTTCTGCTTATGTGCCACCAAGTATGTGGTTCACTTTTCAGCCTTCATATCTCAGCCCTTAACTTATTACATTTATTCCTACTAATCTCTCTAGATCAAGTTTGAATTCCTTTTCCACTGGAAGCCATGAGCTAGAGTAGTGATCTTGTTAACATAGGTGGAGAGGTTTGTAAAATGATTGGGAAAGATGCTAATAGGATGTAGCAACTAATTAATTTAAAGGGAATGGGGAGAGAGGGAGTAAACAAAGATGACTTTGAGGTTGAGTTGACTTGAGATGTTGGAGTGCACCTAGCAGAAATAAGGAATATAGGAGGAGGATTAGCTTTGGGAGACCATGTGCTTAACTTAATTTCAGACATACTGACTTTGAAGTATATAAATGAAACATTTTTTTCTGCATGACAACTTTGTTTTTTGGGGGGGAATTTACCTAGTGAGTGAATTATCAACAGAGGATTTAATTATTATTTTACATCAAAAAATATACTTTTCTCTGAGATCTCTGTTAATTTATATATTATGTTAGTGATCTCCAGACCTATTGTATTCTCTGCTTCCATTCTATATTTGCCTCATGGTGCCATAAGTTCTCAATGATCTGTTGAATTAAAAAGAAAAATGTGCTACAGTATTTTCAAGAAGAAGAATCAAGGTTTTAAAATGAAGCCATTCAGATTTTCCAGTATTTCTCATTCATAAGAGTTAAGGCGCAAAGAATAGGTATAATATTACTTTTATGTATGAGTTGGAATTATGTTTCAGAGCCTGGAAGTATTTAATATTTCTGGGGAACTTCTTAAAAGAGAATGAGTAGACTGATATTTCATATTGGCTTTGAGTTAATCTTTCAGTCCACAAAGGGGATTTTTGAAATGTATATGCTCATGTTAGAAAATAACTTCAGTTTTTCAAAACTTACCTTAAATGTGTACTATTTGGAACTTTAGCATAAGAAGGACTTATCGTAGATTGGAAAAAAGAAGCTAAGTAACTTTTCATTATCTTAAATGTTCTAGAAATTGTTCCTATTAAAACCAACCTTTTAGGGCTGGCCAGTTATTCAGTTGGTTAGAGCGCAGCCTTATAACACCGTGATCACAGGTTTAGACCCCTGCACTGGCTAGCTGCCAAAAAATCACAAAAACCAAAAACAAACCAATCTTTTAAATGGAGTGTTTCAGTCAGTAGTTTTGTATGGAGATTTTCTGTTTGTTGTTGTTGTTATGAGTTTTTTTGTCTTGTTAAATGCCCTAAAATGAATGACTTAAAATTATCTACAATGATTATATACATATAAAACCCATTATTAAGTACGGTTCTTACAGTTCTTCAGCTGTGCTTAGTGTACTTTGTTTAAGAATTTGTTTAGTGCTAGATGTTCTCTTTAATAGTAACATGTCCGTGTGAAATAAAATGAATTCTACTTCCTTCAAAGTAGAGTTGCTGCATTAGTAAACATTAAGTGACTACTGTGTTTTATGCTTCCAATGAAGAAAGTATGAGCGAGTGTAGTATAAGATTGCTCTTGGCTACAAAATTTATTCCATTCCATATATAAATTTCTGTTTTAGACTCGTGAACAGGAAGAATTGGAAGAAGCTTTAGAGGTAGAACGACAGGAAAATGAACAAAGAAGGCTATTTATACAAAAAGAAGAACAACTGCAGCAAATTTTAAAAAGGAAGAATAAGCAGGCCTTTCTAGATGAACTGGTATGTAGAAATGCTAATTGTGACTTTAAAAATTTAGACTTTTTTAAAGTCTTTTTTTGTATTACTTTAAAAAAAAATTTTTTTTATTTGTTTGGCAGGTGGCCCGTATGGAGATCTGAACTCTTGACCTTAGGGTTATAACACTGTGCTCCAACCAACTGAGCTAACTGACTTGTCCCTAAAGTCTTTTTAAAGTGTAAACCTTTCTTTCTTTATTATTTATTATGCTGGAAAATGGCATTTAAATGGTATTCCACAATGTTTGTGCTGTGGTTCACCTTTAATTTTGGTAGTTACTTATTGATATCAGTGTATTTATTGCAGAATAGGAAGTGAGCCCCCAAGAATATTTTTTTATGCTCACACTTCTGTGGGTTAGGAATTCAAGTGGGTGTTCTGGGCTGCTTTAATTCTTCAACATATTTGCAGGGCACCTCTTCATGTGGTTTTCGTACTGGTATATTTGGACTTCTCACATGGTGGCTCAGGGCTATAAGAGAATATTCCAAGACTAATGAAGTAGCTGTTAATGTTTTAAGACTTGGGCTTGTAAACTGGCACAGCATCAATTCCACCATATTTATTAGTAAAACAGCCCACTCAGTTTCAAGGTGAAGGGATATAGATCCCACCTCTTGAGATGAGGATTGTGGCCATTTTTAATCCACATAGTATTTGCTTGGGAAAAAATTATGTTTTTTCCAGAATTTAGCATAATATAAATTCATTTTATACTCAGTCTCTACCCAAAAATGAGTTTAGTGATAGGAATTGTGAAAACACTGTGTCAATATCCATTTTATTTTCAGATGATGAAGAACAACATTAAAACTGACATAAACTAGTATATATATATATATATTTTTTTTGTCTTTTTTCGTGTCCGGCAATGGGATCGCAACCCTCGGTGTTGCACCCGCACCTCGCTCAGCCAGTGAGCGGGAACCGGTCTGTATGTGGGATCCGAACCCTCGGCGGGAGCGCCGCCGCGCTCCCAAGCGGCGCACTGTAGCAGTGCGCCACCGGGCCGGCCCCTAAACCAGTATATTTTTAATAGATTGTTTATATGTTTCTAAGCTAAAACACATTGTTTTTGGAGCATTTTCCTCCTGATTAATACTGGTTTTCTAACAACTAGCTCATTTTCAAGTGTTTTGGCTTCATACTGAAGTTTATAGTGACTCTGATTACTCTGTGTCAAAAATATGTATGTATGTATTTTTGCAGGAAAAAAATAATATATTTGAAAGAGATGGGAGTGTTTTTGCAAATTATTGGTTGTTTTCCAGCAATTACCTCCTTAAGTAGTCAACATTGTTAGATAATAGCAGTAATAGTAACTAAGGTTTGTAAGTGTTTCTCGAATTTGATACTGTATTGTTTGATGCTTATAACCCTGATATTGATGACATTGGAAAGGAGAAAATCTTCCTCCTCAGATAAGTCTTTTTTTCATTCTTTCCCTTCCCTTTCTGTCCACATAATTCATTTCCATGAGGTATTTCTTTGCTGTTAACATACCTAGCTCTCCTTCCTAGTTGATATGCTCTTATTCTGTGGTAAGGTAAATATATATGTGTGTATTTTTCTACTGTGCTTTTTGGTCAAAGAGCATTTAAGCCAGTTAACCAGGAATAAAAAGGGAAAGCAAGATTACTTAAATTAGAAGTAGGTGAGAAAATAAAGGAAAATTAAGGGAAAGTGTTGCTTTGTGTTGCTTTGCCCCCCATGGATTTGTCACCCCACTTCCCCTGGGTGACAGAGACACAAAGGACTACTCAAAGCCCATCTCTTCTGAGCAGTGAGAGACCCCGAAGTGGTTAATCTCCCATTGGAACCCTCAAGTGAGAGGCAACCCTTCCTCGGGAAATTAACCTCGAATTGGGGTTCTCTTCCTGCATTTATTTTTCAGACCCGGAAGTTACAGGAAGAGAACATAGGTGGGGTTATAGTTTAACAATATAGGCTGGTAACATTCAGTGAAACAAGTCAGATGACATTCCTTAGACAGTTAAGTGATCTTACAGCAATTTCTCAGTAGCTTTACATAACAATCGGTAACTAGTCTGTCCTTGAGCCAGCAATCTTGCTGGTCCACAAATCTTTATCTTACACCAGAGACTTATAACCTGAGGAAAATTTCCAGTCCTCCACAAGGTCAATATTTGAAACTTCTTACACCAGAGACTTATAACCTGAGGAAAATTTCCAGTCCTCCACAAGGTCAATATTTGTAACTGCAAGGCTTTGGAAACCCAGGCCCTGTGAAGTACATATGCTTTATAGTATATTCCACAGGAAAGAAAACGTTTATCATAAAGCCCTATCTATGAATGGAAAGATCTATGAATGGAATGTGTATTTTGTTTGAAAAATGAGAAAAGCAGCATATAAAATAAAACTATAATGTTTTCCCTAGAAATTTTTATTATTTCTTTCTTGAAACTATTTAGTGACAGGTATGGCTTTAACAGTTGAAATGACATGTACCATATTTTATATTTTTATAAACATGTTTAGCAAGAAACTAAAAACTTTAAAGAATGAATTAGTAAATACCGAGTTATAATTGTTTTATTGAAAGGTTCTTCCTCTCATCATTTTATACAAAGAGGAACACACTTTTTTGGGTAATGCTTCTCCTCTGTACAATTAACTGAATTAATCCTAAATAGAGAATTTTGATATAAGATGAAAATACACTTTTAACATTTAATGTTCCATCTAATATAAAAGATTTTTAGATTTTATTCTGAGTTTAGCTAGCTTTGCATAGTGCTTATTCTTGCATGTCCTTTTAGTCCTCAGAAGTGCTAAGTTTTGCTGCCTCACTGAGCTGTTGTTGGCATGAAGCTCCCCTTTAATTCAGTGAGGCATGAAGCAAGATGTGAAACTGCCATTGTTGTATATTGTGTATAATCTGGAGTTAATATTGGATTTTGTGATTTTCCCCCACTTCCTGTTTTCTTCACCTGCAAGTCATTACTGCAGGTACTTGCCTTACCGTTTAGATCATGTAACATAGTGGTTAAATACTTCTTAGAAATTTATTGTATTCATTAGTACAATTAATTACAACAGATTGGTTTAGAATGCCACTGCAGTTTGAATTTGAGCTTTCCATTTTAAAATTTATTTAAAAAACATTCTTAGTTATATTAATTTTTTAATCAATTTAAATTTTTTGCTTTAATGTTAACATACTTTTTACTCCTTCTTGAATAAATGAATTCATTAAATTTCTTTTTATCTTTTTGAACCTTATTAACTAAGTGAAAAAATACATTATATTTTTTTCTGTATGCTCATGTGTTAGATTTTTATTTAAGAAAGAAAGATAGCATTGGCATTTGTAAATAAGTCTAGAAGCTTAAATCTTAGAATTATTCTCTGGTCCTAATTTATGTAACAAGTACTACTTATTAGAATTTTTTCCTCCTGTTTTTGGGTTTGGTCCTTGGACCAAAAGTCACATTTTAACCTTTTAAAAAGCATTGGCATTACATTATATGGTTTGTGACAGGATTTTAATGTTATGGTCTTAATGTTTATGGCTTACCATTTGCCATAATGTTTGCTAAAAAGCCCATTTATTTAATCCTAACTGTAAATCCAATTTTTTTTAACAGTTTGGAAAAGGATTTTTAAATAGGCCCTGACTTATTAAATCTTTTTATATTCCTGTTTGAAAATTCTCTTTAGTTTGTATCTTAAATTTTGTATGGGCTGATACTGTTGTCAAATGCAGTAGCTGATTTTTATTAGAAATATTTTTTGCCAGATGGCTTGCTTAAAGTCAGTTAAAATAATCTTTAAAAATGGTCATTATAAAGCTTTTAATGAGTATAACAGTCAGTCTTATTAAAATTTCTTTAAATATTAAAGAGTGTGCCTTCAGGCAGTTAATACAGGTTAAGAAATCTTTCAAGGTAAAATGTGATGCTGAGAAGAATGAAATAACGTGAAAGTCTGAATCTGCATGTTAGGTATTCTCAAGAGGATATATATTTCACATAGTTTATTTTACTCCATGCATATTTTTTGTTATTAGAGCTTCTGCTTAATTCTAGTTTAACACTCACAAAGGTTTTCAAGCTCCAAAATTTTGAGTTCTAAAGTAGTGTTAAGTAGGTTTGAAGTAAATTCTGTGCCTTAGTATTAAAATTAGTTTTAGATTTCTGGACTGTTTATTTTTATTAAATTTTAGCTTTTTACAGACATTTAAAAAATAAGTTCCTTTTATGTGCATGTGAAACCAAGATTAACACAAGCCAGCGTCTTGACTAGCAACTTTTTTGAAATGAGCACATTGTCTTGCTTTATATAAGACCTTTTGCTTTTATTTTATTTTTATTTTTATTTTTTTGGTGGCTGACCAATACAGGGATCTGAACCCTTGACATTGTTATAACACTGTGCTCTAACTAACTGAGCTAACTGGGCAGTCTAAACTTTTGCTTTTTAGAATAATTACCAGTTTTGGGGCTGGCCAGTAGCTTACTTGGGTGAGCATGGTGCTGGTAATGCCAGAATCATGGGTTTGGATCCCTGTACCAGCCAGCTGCCAAAAAAAAAAAAAGAGTAAATACCACTTATGGAACAGCATTTGACTTTGTTTAGAGTATAAATCGGGAAGCAATGCTTTAACTTTTTAGCCAGGGACATTTATTTTTCTTCCATTTTTCTCTACTTATGAAAAGATAGAATAGCTTTTAAAAGATGTTTTTGGCCACAGCCCATTTAAAATGTTCTTTAATTTGTCATTTTTTAAATAAAATCTTAATGGAAATCCAAAATTAGAATAACTGTAGGGATTCACAGAAATATTGTTACTAATGCAGTACTAAAGCTTTGTCGTAGAATGAAACATATTCAAGTATATTCTCATACTATACTTCATTAACTCTTCATTATTGCTAAAGCCATATCTCAATGATTTGCTTCTTAATATTCTATCCTCTAAATAAAATTTGTGCTCTTCCATTTACTTTTAAAAGTTTTAATCACTATGAATTGTTCTCTATTGCTACATGGCATGAGAATCAAAGCAAAGCCTCTGTGAGGTTTCTTTCCCTAGAAAGGAGGTTTATGGTCATTATTAGGGCCTAATGCTGGAGTCCAACACATGCTTTTAAGCTGACTGGTGTTCTCTAACCATGTTCAGGCTTCTTCATACATTGAAAACACACATGTGGGGCCGGCCCATGGCTCACTCGGTAGAGTGCGGTGCTAATAACACCAAGGCCCCGGGTTCGGATCCCACATAGGGATGGCCGGTTCGCTCACTGGCTGAGCGTGGTGCTGACAACACCAAGTCAAGGGTTAAGATCCCCTTACTGGTCATCTAAAAAAAAAAAAAAAAAAAAAAAAAAAAAAAAGTTTTAATCTCTATAACATTGCTCTCGCAAAGGACTTCTATTTTACAATCTTGATATGAAACTTTATTCTAGGAAAATTCTGTGGAATGAAATTACTTGTTATTTGAATTACTTTTACACTATAACTGTAAAACAATTTCTTTAAGTATATTAATCAGCCACATTTGTGTCTTAAAAAATTATTAAGTGGTAGATTTGGAAAGAAAATTAGATTCCGCTGTATGTTTGCTTTTCATTCTGTGAAATGTTAAAAATAGAGTATCTTCAGGATTAAATTCTGGGTAGTCACTGTTTCAAGATCTATAGCCCATTTGAACAGTATGTTTGTCTTCACAGATAACCTTGGTATAGGAGAAAGAAATGTGTTTGTAACTTCATCTTTGTATACAGATACAGAAAGTACTGTGTGTGTGTGTGAGAGAGAGAGTGTGGGATTGTGTGAGATATTTCCTTCTGACCTCCCTCTGCAGACGTTTCTGGGTTCTTATTTAACTGACAACTCAGAAAGGAAAATGTCTGGTTATCATTTACTTTAGACCTTAGCTCCATAGCACTGTAAACATGTAAGAGGACTTCATGTTAAACAGGGTATTAGTCTACATGTAAGAATTGGTCAGTAATTTGCTTGTTTTATTAAAATGTGTCTGCCTGCAGATTTGTTTAAATAGTGGCCCTGATTTAGTATCAGCATAAGATATTAAAAATATTTATCATTTTGTTACTAAATTAAAAAAAATTTAGACTTAATTTTTAAAAGTAAGTCAGTATAGGAGAAAAATATACTTTTGGTTGTGCTTACAATAGTTCCATTGTGCAAAACAGAACAAGGATTATTTCCAAACGGCCTCAGGTGAAATATAATGGGGAACAATTTCAAACTGGTCTGAATTCACTATTAAAAAGAATGTGTCTTAGATAAACATCTGATCTAAGTTACAGTACTTTGTATTACTCTTTTTGTGATTTGCTTCCATTTTTTTTGTTTTAATAAATATGGTTGGTTTGCTAGATGAAATAGGGCCCTATTATATTGTCTTTAAAGTGGATTTTATAAAAATACTTGTTTGCAGGTTATTTCGATTTATGAGTCTACAACAGCCTTTTCTTATTAAAGAATGTTAATATTTTTTGTAAAATGTTCTCCATAAAGTGAATATTTAGTTTGACATCAAATGCTAATGGAAAAGGCATAATTTAAAATATAAGTCTTGTTGCTTTTTAGTTTTTTCCTTTAGTTCAAGTTTCATATTGAACTTGAGCTTTTCTTACAGGAGAGTTCCGATCTCCCTGTTGCTCTGCTTTTGGCTCAGCATAAAGATAGATCTACCCAACTGGAAATGCAGCTTGAGAAACCCAAACCTATCAAACCAGTGACGTTTTCCACAGGCATCAAAATGGTAAGCCTTATTTTAATTGCTTGTTTGAAAGATATTTTTCAAGGTTTACACTTTATAATTTTATATTGCTTTCTGTAGTAAACTATAAGGTTCAGGTGTTTAAGAACAGTGTCTGATCTAAGCTAGATGTCTGGAAAATATGGATATGCATTAGTATATTAGGAAAGTGAAAAGCAATAAATAATTTTCAGAGTACACAACACAGTTTTATTGTGTGTGATATTGGGTTTGTATGTTTTTCTTATTCTACATGAATTTCTAAGTTTGTGGCATAGGGAAAAAGTTTTTAAAAGAAAATGCAAAAGTATTGTTAGGGAAATAGTATCTACATGTCATCTACAGATATAAATGGGAAAGCATATATATAAAGTTTGTGGAAAAGTATAATTAAAAGATAACACACATGTTTTCATGAACTTTTTGAAGTACCCTTGTACATATATTTTAAAAATATTTAGCTAAATATTTAAAAATTTTTAGCTTCTAGACTGTTTTAAGGATAGACTTATTTGGGTTTAAAAACAATTGTTTATTTTAGCCATTCATTCAAAGGAAAGATTTTATAAGCTAATGATATGTTTGGATACTTTTGTAAAGTTGTTTCTTTTGTTTAGGAAATATATAGTTTAACATATTAATATGTGTTTAAAATCCAGATTTTTGAGAGATAGTTACTCTAAATTAACTTTCAAATTAGTAAATATATTTTAAAATAGTCTCATTATAGTAGTTTAAAAAGTGTGGCAGCATTATAAAGCTGTGGTTAAGGATTTGGACTTTGGATCCAAACAGACCCACATTCAACTCTCAACTACCTCATTTGGCCAGCTGCTTGACATGAGCATATTACTTAGCCTCTCTAATAAGCCTTTTTCTTCATCTGTAAAAAGGTGATGATAGGCTGGCTGATTAGCTCAGTTGGTTAGCTCAGAAGCCTTTTAACAGTAAAGTCATGGGTTCAGATACTCATACCGGCCAGCTCCCCGCCCCCCCGCCCCCAAAAGGCAATAGTAATACCTGTCTCATAAGCTTGCTGGGGACATTAAGTGAAATAATGTGAACAAAGTACCCAGCACAGTGACTGACATATAGTAAGCTCTCAATAAATGAGGTTAGTTATTAATAATTGCATGAATTGATAACACTAATGGCTATACTAATTTATTCCACAAATCTTTATATTCTGTAACTACGTATAATGAAAACAGCACTGGAATTGGAGTCAGAAACCCTCTTTCAAATTTGCCCCTAACTTAACTGATTGTGTGACCTTGAACAAGTTGCCTATTTTTACTGTTTTCATTTATAAAATAGGATTATTTCTCACCTCATAGCATTGCTCTAAGGATTAAGTAATGTATGCCTTGGATGTTGCCTGGCACTTATACAGTGTTTAATACACATGAAATAAAAATTCATCAGCATTCTGCAGATGCTGCTAATTCCCCAGGGAAGGAAGCAGTCTGTAATATTTTGTTCTTGTAATGCAGTACTTTGATATATATCTAGTGTGTCTGTACATACAAATGCTGTCCAAAATTTTTAGATTATATGTTTTTTATTTAGATTTTTTTCCTTCTAAAATATAAGACTAAACAAACCAAAATTTTCAAGTTCATAGTTTATTGTGAAATGATTGTAGTGTCTAATTAAATATTATGTTGTGTCAAATTCAGAGAACATTTCTTGTTTAATCATGTTATGCTATGTTCTCTATATCTTTCTTTCCTGTGCTACCATTGTCCTGCTATTATTAACTCTTGAGCACTCCTTTACACGAAGGCTACAGTCATTGTATAGTAATTAATTAGTTTACCTTTCTGCCTCTCTTTAGCAATTTATAAGCTCCTAGAGTTGACACGTAACAGGCTTTCCACAAATCCTGACTTGAAGCTAGGTAGTTGAATGGGTGGATGGATGAACAAATGAATAGACAGTTGATCAGAATTGTATCAGATGGGGGCAGGCCAGATAGTTCACTTGGGAGAGCATGGTGCTAATAACACCAAGGTAAGGATTCAGCTCCCTGTACTGGCTAGCCACTAAAGGAAAAAAAAAGTTATCAGAGTTTATCTATTTTAAAGTAATCACTAAATGAGTCCCTCAGTGAACTATAATGCAGATATCTGCCACTCACTGACATTTTGGTGAATGCCTTCCTTTTTTTGTTTCTTAAGTTGGTGCATATTGCTCTTTGAAAACAACTAATGTATGTCAGGAAGCCATGAAAATAGCAATAATAGAAAGTGTGGAATACTTTGCCAGAGTTGGTGCTCTGAATTTTATTGAAATGAGTAGAAAAGTGTTTGTTAGATTACTAACTGTTGAATACTTCTTTGAGGTGAATTCTAGAGACAGAAGGCAGTCACTTATGACCAAGCTGTACTTTGCTTACATCGTTTTTGGTCAGATTCAATAATAAACTGTGTAAGAACTTGTAGAATTAATAATTGAATTTTCCCCTGACATTTTTAAACTCAGTAGAGTTTGTAGAATTTTTTGGCCTTTGAGTATTTCAAAGCTAGTGTTAGCAACGTGCAGTATTGTAGTGGGAAAAGACCAGTCAAGTCAGTAAGTGATATGGATTGAATTGTGTCCCTCAAGTTTTTACGTATTTGATCTCCACTGTGATTGTTAAGAGGATGGGAAATCCTATTATGGTAATTGAAAGGTGGGGCCTTGGAGAGGTGATTAGATTCTCAGTACCATGCCCTAATGAATGGATTAATAATGGTGGTCATGGGTGTGGTTTTCAGGGCTTTAAAAGGAGAGCATGTGAGAGTCTCTTTCTACTCTACCATTCTGCTATGTGGGACCCCTGTGTTACTGTCACCACCAAAGCCTTCACCAGATGTGTTCCCTGGACTTTGAACTTCCCAGTCTCTGAAACTGTAAACAATAAATTTTGTTTTCTTATAAATTACCCCATTCCAAGTATTTTGTTATATGCAACAGAAATGGACTAATACAGTAAGTTTCAGGGATAAAGTCTAATGCTCAGATATGCACCTCAGGAATGTATCCCCTGCTGTAAATGGAGCATGATGAGTATGCAAGAATGAATGTCTCAAAACATTGTCAAAGTATATTCTAATTAGAGATAATACTCTAATTTTAAAAGGGAAAGGACTGCTTCCTCTGACGTCATTGGATAAGGTCATATTTATTATGTTTTTATGGTTGCCTGTGATATAATACTGTTTCCATTTTAGCAAATGTTTAGCAGCTACTCCTATTTTCCAGTTCTCTCAGTTCTCTTTCTTTTTTAGCATATATAATACTGAAGTAAGATCTGGCTTACAGTCTAAGAAGAAGATACAGTAGCTCATCTTGTGTCTTGCTCCCCGCCTCCCAGTTGCTGACCATAGCAATTCAAAAATCTAGATGATTTGGTATTAAGTTGTCTCTACCTCCAACATTTATCTTGAATTCACCCACGTCTCTCCGTCTCTGTCATCCTAGGCTAGTTGCCATTGTTTCTCTCCTAGACTACTGTAGTAACTTTCCATCTGGCCTCTCTGTTCTTCTGTGTACCCTATAATTTATTCAATAAGCTTTTTGGGTAGTTCCCAAAGTGAATGGATGATGGTAAATAAACAACACTGAAAAAAATCAGATCATCACTTCTTCACTTAATATCTTCCATTGTCTTTCTAATACTCTTAGAATAAAATTCAGAATACTAACCATCCACTTTCTCGTCTCTGAGAAAGTGACATTTAAACTAAGAAGTAAGTGGTGAAAAGGAGTTAGCCATGCAGAAATCTAAGCAGAGAAAAAAACAATAACAAAAGGCCTAAGGTAAGAAAACAATGTGTTCTAGAAACAAACAAGACCTGTTAAGAATGTCTCTTTCCATTGCTTATTATATTCAGTTCACATAGGACTTTTGACCATCCTGTGTAAAGTATCTTTTTCCCATCTCCCAACCCCCATTATTTTATGCCTTTTAACCCTTCATAATATATATTGCTATCAGAAAATGTTTTATGAGTGCATTGTTTAATATTTATCTCTACTACTAGACTATAAATCTGTGAAACTAGAGTGATGTTTGTCTCTAGTACCTAGAATAGTGCCAGGTACATGGTCGACTGTCATTAAATATTTTTGGTTGAGTGAATGAATCTTACATATTAGGCTCACACTGAATTGTTTGATGATCCTGCAATACTTACAGCCTTCTGTGCCTTTATTTACGGCATTTACTCTGCTTGGGATATACTTAACTGCTTATTTGAAAACCATTATAATTAGTGGCATTGATCAAATGTGATTTTCATGAAGGCTTTTGAGTGGAATTTAATTACATATTCTGGTGCCCTCCCCAATATTTTGTGTATACTTTTGTTATGTATTGTACCTCCTGCTTTGTATTGCAGTTGGTTATTTTCCATGTCTGGCTCATTTTAGATGAGCTTCCTTGAAGACAGATTGTGTTCTGTGACAGAATTTTGAATGTCCTAATGGGGACTGTATCAGTCCATTTCTGTTGCTTATAACAAAGTACTTGGAATGGGTGATTTGTAAGAAAACAAAATTTATTACTTACAGTTTTGGAGGCTTGGGATGTCCATAGTGCAGGGAACACATTTGCTGAAGGACTTGGTGGTGGCACCTGTGACCCAGGGGTCTCATATGGCAGAAAATGTTGGAGCAATGAGAGATTAACCTCTCATGTGCTGTTCTTTTAAATCCATCAGAACCACGCCCCTGACCACCATTGTTAATCCATTAACTACAGCATGGTCCTAGAATCTAATCACCTCTTCAAGTCCTCACCTTTCATTTATCATAATAGGATTTCCCACCCTCAATAGTTACAGTGGGGATTAAGCTTCAGTGATGTTGGGGAGCCATCCAATCTATACCATTCTGCCCCTGACCCCTCATACTCATGTCCTTTTCACACACAAATACATTCATTTCATCCCGTCTTAACTTGTTTCAACTCAAAAGTTCAAAGTTCAAAGTCCCATCAGTGAAATAAAAAACAAATT